CCTTTGCCAATAATTCTAAAGAGACTTTTGACCACAAGGAGTTGTTCCCGATATGAAATATGCCCTTAATGTTACAGATTTCTTCTACTTTCCATAACTTGTAGTCAATTGTTTCACAGTGTTGGTGCTTTTAATCTTTTTCTTTTTCCAACCTTTAGTGGTAACATATTTTTTTTAGTATTGACATCCTTATCATCATTATCATATTCTAATTGTCTAATCATTATCTCTTCATGCTTCTTTAATTATGCATTCAATGGATTGAAATCTGTTTATATTTCTCTAATTTTTTTTCTTTTAACATTTCTCGTAAGATTCAAAAGCATTTGATGCCGAACATTAGAAAGATATTTGTGACATTGTTCAACTTCTCTTTTAGCTCCAGCTAAATGCTGCTTAAATTAATTAATGTCACCACACACAAATAATTTAGCATAATATAAATATACTAATTTAAATTTTTTTACATCCAACATTAAGTTCAAGAGCTTCTCTATGATGACCTCATGCCAAATCTGTTCTTCCTCTACTACCACTTGACATGTAAATTGAAGATTAAGATTATTAGGCCATTGAAGTATCACTATTTAGAGTATTATCATCACATAAAGGCATTTTAAGGACCTAACTTAAATGAGAAAAAAAAACCCATGATATGAAAAATAAAGGTATAAAACAAGGGATCCTGTAGGAAGAAACATAAAATAAAAAAATCAATTCAAATAACAAAATTAGCAGAACAATTAGTAGAATATAAATATGAGAAACAAATAGAAGAAACAGAAAACACAAAAATTCCTCGTGCAACATTCCAATACATACTAGAAAATTATAAATAGGATGGAAAAAGGAAAATGCTTCTTTGAAGTTGTCTTTCAGACTTCAATTCTAGTTTCTCATTTTGCACACAACTTGGCACTGAAATAATTTATAAAAGAGAATATGATTTCAAGCCAAATCATATACTTTTATTGTATATTCAAATTGAGTAGCAACGCACTTTGCAATCCATTCATTAGAATAACAATGACTAACAAACAATTATAACCAACTAGATATAAGATGTGACCAGCAAAAAAACTTCTTTTCTTAGATTAATCACTACAGTGATCACAAAAAATGAAAAAATCCTAATAAACTGGATATCAATTCCTTATTGTTAAAGAATTTTCTAAGCATATAAGACAAGCCATAGTGGAAAATCCATTTTACCTACACAATTTATCAAATCATGACACTGCTGTCAAGATTTGGTATTCTTTGTGCATTTTTGCTTTATGAAATATTTGCATTATGTTCTTATATTAACTTACTTGATATTAATGCCTCGATTCTTGTCTTAAAAAAATCTTATTCTTTAAAATCTCGATAACATTCAATTTAACCTTGATTTTAGCATCTTCAAAAAAAAAAAAAGCAAGCCTAATAATTAGAAACAACCCATATAATATAGTCATTAAGGGAGGTAAACTGAAATTGTCTTTAAACATCAATGAACTAATTTCATGCAAGAGCTATTATAAATACAAAATAAAAAACACAAAAACTATCGGAATTGCAGAACATCAATAAATTGGTTGGCTAAGTTTTTTTTTGTCAAGCACATCAATAATCAAATGAACATAAAGAAGAAAAATGAGACACTTAACTAATATGAGCTTACAAAGAAATAGATCAAGAAAAATGAGGTAGAGGCTTTATTAAGTTGCGGAAAAGAAAAGAACAGAGAAACATATAGTGGGTGTGAGAATAGAATAGAATCAATGTCAAATCAAGAACCACAACAAAATCGATGCTAGATCAAGAGCTACAAGTTCAAAAAAGAGACAAAGAATAAAGAAAAGAGAGAGTGAAAGAAGGAAAGTCGTGAAGAGAAAAAAGTAGCATCAGCTTCATCTAGCCTTATTCATAGATTTAAAACATCAATCAAAAGTCTTCTACTTCTCTACTCTTCACGATTGAAATGGCTTTTTTTTTAATTAGGTTTTCTCTCTGTCTTCATCGTTAATCGTTTTGGCCTTATAATCGTAAAATGCTAAAACAACGTCGCGTCACATATATGTATATATAAAAAAGATTAGGTTTCAGCTAAGTTTACTCGAGTCGACCAGGTTTCGCCGGGCCACATCCCCGATGGGTTTTTACATTGACCCTGATATGTCCTAGGCCCAGGTCGATTTGTTGAGCTAGTTCGGGTTTTAAAACTATACTTTTTGTAGATTTTTTTATTCTTATAATAAAAGTGAATAATATATTTTCTTGTTAAAAATAAATTTTTAATATTTTTAAAATGTAAACTAAAATCCTTTAAAATTTTACAAAATATTTATAAAATCTTTACAATACTTTTTATGTTTTTAAACATTCAAACATATTTTTTTAGATGTTTTCTTAATTTTAAGACATGTTTTAATAATTTTTTGGATTTTTAGCCATGATGCAATTTGCAAGAAAACAAAGATTTAATAAAAATATTTTGTGATATTTTTTTAAAAAATTATGATATAAATTCTAAAACATGCCAAAAATAAAATTCACGCATCCCACACCTTTTTTTACTATTTTACTCACACATTCTTCAATCACATTTACAAGTTAGACAATCAAACACACAATAAACACATCAACATATAAAGACAAATAAAATCATTCCAAGCTCCAAAATCTATCTTCAGGAACATATGACTACCAGAATCAACCAGAAAAACTATCGGAACAGTGACGGCGTGTATACCACACTCCACCGTCAGTATCAACATGTGGTTGCAACTATTTAGGTGGTGGCCAAGTGGTAAGAACTTGGGACTAAGGGGTTTGCTCCCTCTGTGGTGTCAGGTTCAAGTCCTTGGTTGCTCATATGATGGTCACTAGAAGCTTATATGGTCATTAATTTTAGAGCTCGTGAAATTAATCGTAATATGTGTAAGTTAGTCCAAATACCCATATTAATCTAAAAAAAAAACATATGGTTACATCTGTCTTCATTGAACTATCCAGATATCCACATTAATCTAAAAAAAACATGTGGTACATCTTTCGTCTCCATTGAACTAGGAAACATGGTGGATTAGGTGGATCCTTTCTTCCTATTTGTATAAAAATACTTAACGATGAGAGTCAATGTTACCTGCAAAATCAGAAAAGAAATCCACAAAGTTTCGGTTGAATCTTCTTTCTTTGCTGACTGGCCTCCCTCTTTCTACAAAATCTTCGCAAAAGTTGTAAGCATAGGCTGCTTAAATAGTATAGTCTTTGGTTTGATGGAAAAAAGGTCTTTGAACAATTCTCTTACCCGTCGTGGAATTTCGGTATAGTCCTGCACAAACCAGTGCTTAAATTTATACAGAAACTGACGAGGTTTTTCTTATAGCTGACTCCAGTAATGCGCTCGCAAATACAGAACATGGGTGAGAAACCAATCCCAAGTTGATGTCCTTAATAGGATCTTGAACTTCACCATCATCCTTTTTCTGGGTGGCCCTAAAAGGAACTCTCGTAAGGTCTACGGTAGAGAATCCTCTTCATGTTTGTATATATGAATTCGATCGAGCCAGTATTATTCCAAGAAGTGAAAATTGTAGTTGTGGTGATGGCCAAAATATGGTGTAAAGAGGATGGGATGCACATATTGATTTGTATCTAATCACATCTCGGTAATGCATTGTAACTAGGTTTTGCCCTTGCCATAAAAAAAAATATTGGTTGAGTTTTCTTGGTTCCAACAACTATAAAAAGAGATGCATTCTTTAAAAGACTCAATTCTATTCTTGTCCTACAAAATAGAAAAAAAATATGGAAATTATTTATTAGGAAATTAACTCTTATTCCATCTTATACAGTTAAACAAGTAGCCACAGGCTAGAAAAACTCAATTTCTTTGAGGCTTTTGTTTCATGAAAAATAAATTTTTAAATTTTTATGTATTTATTTATTATTAAAAAAATTAATCAAAAATACTTTTTAGATAACGAAAAATTTAACTTAATTTTCAAAAAAAAAAATTATTATGGACTGAAAATAGTTTTCAAAAATTATAAAACTTCAAAATCTTTTATTATTTGTTGATTATATTAAATTTAGTCATTAATCTTTTGATTTCAATATTTTTGTTATATATATATTTTATTTTTTTTATTTTATCTCTTAGAATTTAATTTTTATATCAATGTTAGTCCTTATTCTTTTTAATTATTATTTTTTTCTTTTATTCTTATCTTAATTAAAAAAATTATTTATCAAATTAGATCCTTATTCTTTTTATTTATATTTATTATATTTGAAATAATTTATAAAATTAAATTATTTTTTTAATTTCATCGCACTCCAACTTTTTATCTGTTAAATATACTCTCCATTCTTTTAATAAATATGAAAAATATTAAAATAATAATAATTAATTTTTTAGCTTATTTTTTATAAGATTATCAAATATTAAAAAATATTTTTCATAAAATCCACTTTTCAAAATGAATCCTTTTTAACTTTCAAGTTAAACATGAAAAACTCTCAACCAATATTCACTCTATTTTTCAGTCCATAAAGTCCATTAAACAATTCCCAAAATTTCGATCTGTCCCCTGATCTCTAACTATTGTTCTGTGCGAAATGTCGGTCTCAAGACACGTTACAATCGTGTTATAAATCCATTTATTAAGAGACTCATTAGGACAATAATATATACTACTTTTTGTTTATTTTGTATGTCAAAACAAATGTTGAACCATTGGATGCATCGCCGTATCAGAAAGATGCCAGCAGAAGACATCGTTCATAAATCTTTTTTATTTTTTTAAGAATTCATTTTAGAAGGCAAAAGAATCAAATAGGTCATATATAGGACATGAGAAATCAAACAGAAGTGTCAGAACTCCATATATTTCAAAGTAAGTGTGAGATGGTGTTCTTGTCCACCGAATGAAGTTGTTGTCTGCATCAAAACAGGATATCTCCATCTTTTAGGCGTCATTCTTCTTTATATATACACTGTCTGATGCAAATTCATGTCAGGGGAAGAGAGGATGGAGATTGCAGTAGATGAAAAGGAAGCAACCCAAAAGGTTGCAAGCAAAAAGGGTGGACTAAGGACCATGCCTTTTATTATAGGTGAACTAGTTTTTTTTTTTTGTACAAGTCCTCTAGGATATATTTTAAATGCAAAAGATGTTAATTTGATCGAGCACATGTTCTGATTGTGTGATTATAATGATCTTCGCAACATTATTCACAACATTATGTAATTGATTTTAGAGAACACAGGATCATCTGATGAATTTTGTGGAATTCTTATTGAATATGCAGCAAATGAGACATTTGAGAAGGTTGCAGGGGTGGGGCTTCAAGCAAACATGATCTTGTACTTACGAAATGAATACAACTTAAGTAATGCTTCCGGGGGCTACATACTATCTCTGTGGGTAGCAGTATCATATTTTATGCCCATCCTAGGGGCTTTCATTTCTGATTCTTACTTGGGTCGGTTTACTGTGATTGCGTATGGAACAGTCATCAGCCTTCTTGTAAGCAAGTTTTATATAATTTTATTTTTACCTTATTTATTTATTGCTATGATCAATCTGAAAATTGTTGACTGTGGCATACAGTATCAATAACAGTCATTGCTGTGTTGTTGATCTATAATAAGCGCGTTCCCGTGTGACTATGTCACTATTTCTTCTTTCAGGGAATGATTGTATTATGGTTAACAGCCCTTATTCCACATGCAAGGCCTCCCCATTGTGCCCAAACTGATGATGATTTGAAAGATTGTGTATCGCCAAAGCTAGGACAGTTTTTGCTTCTATTTTCATCGTTTGCTCTATTGGCCATTGGGGCTGGTGGCATTAGACCATGTTCCTTGGCCTTTGGAGCAAACCAGATTGATGATCCCACCAACCCAAAAAACCAGCGTACATTGCAAACCTTCTTCAATTGGTATTATGCTTCTGTTGGAATCTCAATCATGATTTCAGTGCTAGTCATAGTAGCAATTCAAGATGAAGCAGGCTGGGCTGTGGGCTTTGGAGTTGCAGTGGGGTTCATGCTCTTGTCAACTATCTTCTTCTTTTTGGGTTCTTCACTATACGTTAAAGTCAAAGCAAACAAGAGCTTGATAGCTGGCTTTGCCCAAGTAGCAGTTGCAGCTTGGAAGAAGAAGAACGTTGCTTTGCCACCAATGGAGTATGCTACATGGTACCATCACAAGGGCTCAAAGTTTGTCGCACCAACAGAAAAACTTCGGTACAATCGTATATCAATGAATATTTTATCATATATGTTTTATGCATACTCGTAGTGCTATAAATTCTTTGGTCATCATTCATTAATTTGAATTTATGATAGTGATCATGATGCTGTACTATGGGTGCCCTATGCTTTAGAGTGTCGAGAAGTTACAGGTATCTCTGTCCCTTCACAGGTTTTTGAACAAAGCATGCGTCATTGGAAATCCTGAGAAAGATTTGGACTGTGATGGATTGGCTATAGATCCATGGAGACTCTGCACGGTTAAACAAGTAGAAGAGCTAAAATCACTGATCAAAGTCCTCCCCATTTGTTCCACTGGCATCATGATCGCAGTGACTCTAAACCAACACGCATTCCCTGTACTCCAAGCCACCACCATGGACAGGCACTTCATAGGGAACCTAAAAATCCCAGCAGGCTCTTATGTTGTGTTTACAATCCTTGCTTTGACAGTATGGGTTGCCGTCTATGATCGACTTTTAGTCCCATTGTTATCCAAGTTCACCAATAGACCTCAAGGACTCAGCCATAAGCAACGTATGGGTATTGGCATAGTGATCTCATGTATAGCCACTGCAACGGCAGGAGCAGTGGAGAATAAGCGACGAGCTACTGCATTGAGACAAGGGTTGGCAGATCATCCGAGGGATGTCGTTGACATGTCTGCAAATTGGCTAATTCCACAGCATTGCCTTGTCGGTTTAGGAGAGGCTTTCAGTGCAATTGGGCAGATAGATTTCTTTTACTCTCAGTTTCCGAAGACCATGACAAGCATTGCAGTTGCTCTTTTCTCACTCGGTATGGCAGTAGGGAACTTAGTGGCCAGTCTAATCATAGGAATTGTGGATGATGTGACCAGAAGAGGAGGGAAAGTCAGTTGGGTATCAGATAACCTGAACAAAGGTCACTATGATTATTATTACTGGCTTCTTTCCCTCCTGAGTCTAGTGAATTTCTTCTACTATTTGCTATGTGGTTGGGCTTATGGGAGCGAGGATAGGGAGGAATATGATGATGGAGAAGCCATGGAAGAGGTAGAAATGCACCCATCTGTGGGATCTCCAATCAGACATTTTGGTGTTTGATGCTTATTCATTATTGGATTGCCCTTGATCTTAATGTCCTCCATGTCACAACGAATGGCGAACAGTATTTGATTTGTGAAAATGAGTGATATCTTCCCTTATTTTTCCTAACTCGGATGATTCGGCTAGCTTTTATATATATATATATGTTGACTAATTTTTTAGATTGGTAAATTTTTAAAAATAAATTCAAAATTTAACCAATTAAATTACATCTTTTAAAATTAAAATATATATATATATTTTTTTTTTTATTTACGTGGGCTGTCCGGGCCAGTTTATACACATCACGACTAATCCTCACGGTCCACTGAACATCCTGCAAGCTCAGTGAGCAGGTAAGGCACCTGCGGAGGTGACAGGCATACGCGGTAAGACTCGAACCCAAGTGCGAAGAAAAAGAACAAGCCTCTCCTACCACTGGGTTAGAACCTCGTGTGTAAAATATATATTATATATATATATATATATATATATATATATATTTTACAGACCATGGATGGATTTTGTCATGGTTTTTTTCACTAAAAGGAAGCAATTGAAGAAGCAAAACCAGCGCAGAAATTCATTGTACGTACTGTCTTTTTTTAGAAAAATCGACACTATCGAACAAATATATACTTTATTATTTTGAGGGAAATCAACCTTGTCCACAAATATTTGTCCAAAAATGAAAATAGAGTCGATGTTTTCTACTGTAAATGGTAACACAAACAAGCCAAATGAAAATGACTTTATAGCATGATAAAGCTTCCTGTTATGCATGCATTTCTATGATTATAAATTGTTCCAAAAATAGCACTTTCAAATAAATCTTAGAAGGAAATAACAAAGAAGTAGAAATAAACATTATATTATTATTTAAAAAACTAAGATAACATTATTTTTAACTGTTTAAAAAACAGTATCCATACATTCACGTGCAGATGTGATATCATAGACAGAGGCTAACACTTTGTCAGATACAGTACCATTGATCCAACATAGTTTGATTGATACAAGGTGCCCAACGTTAAGTGGAGCAAAGTTCACATCGGAGGTAGCAGCATAAGAGATTAAAGCCATAGCAAATAGTAGTGAAAGGTAGACAATTTAGGCGCACCATGAAAACTAAACGGAAATTTATAAGAACGAAGAATTTGCAATAGAGTTCAAAAAAATACAGTAGTTATTGTTTATCTGCAGAATTAAAGTGCTGAGGAGACAAGGGAGAATTTGAATTTGGCTGAAATTCCTGAGCTTTACATTCAATAAAACTAGCTTCCTCAAGACTTTAATCAATACTACTTGAGCAATCCAATTTGATGGGTATGCACAATGAGCCAGAATCACAGATATTATCATATGAAAACTTGCGCCAAGTGTACGGCAGCTGTTTCCAATAGATGAAGTCACTGTTAAAATACCATGATATGTTCCTCAATCCTTTAATCTCATTTTGATGCAAAAATGTCTTCTAAATCTTTGTACAACCGATTCGGTTTGGACTCGAAATCTGAAGAGGTCTTTTGAGAAGAGCTCCCACTCCATTTGTTTGTCCAAAATCCACTCCATTTAGCTCGACTGGTTGAAGGATCATTCTGTGATCCACTTCTTTCTTTGCTGAACCTGACCCTCGCTAATTCTCTTAGTTGTTTCTACCATGGTTTATTTGGCGTGCCAGAGCCCTTTCTCCCTGAGATTTTGTTTCTGTCAACGGAAGAACCAGTCTCTCCCCCAGTTTCTCCATCACCATGCTGTCTAGCTGGTAGTTTGCTTTCCAGGTTTCGGCTCAATCTTCTCGGAATGAAAAGCAAGAGAAATCCAATTGATGCAGTTTTCAAACCTGTCAAGAAATCCTGCTCAGAGGGATCCAGCCACTTTATCTGTCTATACAATGTGTACCATTCATTGACCATTTGTGCCAAGAATCCAATTAAAAAAAGTAAAATCATGAAGTTTCCAACTCTGGTTTCTTCTCTAGTCGATAATTTCTTCTTCAAGAGAATGAAACAAGTAGCAAAAATACTAACTTGGCTGGTAACAGAGATTATCTCAACCAGTTGGACCTTTTTCTAGAAGGCTTCTTAAGGACAAGGAAGAAGAGCTGAAAGAAAGTGATGGACAATAAGACAGGCTGTTGGAGTTTTAGAGGACCAGTTATCCAGGCAGGCACCAGTCAGAATGCCCAAAGAAACTCTCTTGACTGACTCAAGCAGGGTGTAGTATATTCTACGAAGTCCAAACAGCTTCTGTATAAATGGTGCTTCTGCATCTTCTGTTTCATCATCAGAGACAATGATACGATCCCCTTGCTTGCGGGGAACCCCAGCAATTTGTGAGAGCATGTATTTAGGGGGCCTCCTAGATCTTCAAATAAAGGACCTAACCTGATTAGATATACAGAGTTTGATTTATTCTTCCATGTCCACTGGCCTCTCCTACCAGGACCTAAAGTTACTTGGGTAATATCTCGATACCAGTGAAATATCTGACCTTCTTGATGGATTTCCTTGTACTGAAGTAGCTTTCCAAAAGTGATTCCAATAGAAAGAATCAGGAGCAAGGCCAGCAGTAAGAATCCCACCACACCCAGCAGCAAAATGCCAACTATAATCCCTAATGCTGTCCCTCCTTGAACCATAAAATAAAAATCAATTAACTGTAACAGGTTGTATACGTTTGGGGAAACAGGTATGTAAAGAGTGTAATACAGTTGGATGCTGTGATAGAAACAAATATCAATCAATGTGATGGATCAACATCATTTCCAACAATGAATGGAAGTTTAGTGCGTAGATCTTCAACCTTGTATGCATCTAGTGTATAGCAGTACATACAATAGTAGTGATGTATAGTCTAAAGAATAGTCTATAAGAGAAAGATACTACAAGAAAAAATCAGAGATGGAGCTTAGAAGATGGCATCAAAGGGTTTCGGTATCCACATTTGTGAAGAAAACCACTCTGACCTATTGAAATAAATTTGTAGGATTCCAAACATTCGTTTAGATTAGTATCATCAATAGATCAAAGATATTCCATTATGGGTTTCCACACTGAAGTATTAAGCAATAGTTTAACATGAGGGGCCTATGATCATATAGGGATTGGAAAAGGCATCACATGTTACAACAATGATAAACTATTTCCCATGCAGCACCTCAAAAAAATGAAAGTAAAATATGGTTTTATATTTTCAACTAAAAAAAGTGACGGTCACATAAGTACATGAAAAGGATATAAATGATTTAATTGGAAAAATAACAAGAGTGGAAACAACTAAATTTTTTCTGGAAGCTTATATTTACTCCCTGTGGAATGCATAGACGAGGTGATATATAAATGGAAGAAAAATGAAAATGAAGGTTACCTCTAACTAGAGAAGCTGAGGCCTTGCAAATACAAGGTAAAGCAAGAACAGTGAGAAATATCTCAAATCTTGGGAAGGTCTGTGCTCCATAGTCCCTCTGCTTATCAGTAATTCTTTTCCTTAATTTTATAATAAATACGAGTATGACATGGAGCAGTACCAAACTGACACTAATTACAGCTAACCAGAACATGCTTCTATCAAAATCCCTCCATCTGCCAGCGATAAAAGAGTAAAATATTATCTTCCAGCACTTGAAAGAAGGTCCAAGCAGGAATTTCTCATGATAAAAAGAAAGACAAAAATACCATAAAAAATACAAGGAAAAATAAAGCAATTGGAATTCACATTAACTGTTTTGATCATGAACATCGTTTTGCAATAAAGCAAGATGGTTAACCAAAAAATTTAGCAGCACCTATGCAAAATAATCAAATAAATGAGCATTTTATGTGGGATGTTCTTGGTAATTTTCCTTTTTGATAAACACGCACATTTATAATGGCTGTTTGTGTATCAGTGAGCTTTCATCATGTCTCTAGCATGACAAGAGTGGAGAGCATATTGAAAAAATAACAAAAAACATTACAAAATCCCACCCATTCAAATGTTGTGGATCCATAATATGTTCTGCTCCTGGTTTAAAATCTTGACTCTGCATACAAATAATGGAACCTCTCATTTATAATAACAGCTATTTGAAACTGAAAACAAGTGTCTGGAAAATGGTTCCTGACCTCAAAAAATGATATGCACTCCATTGGAGCAAGGGGCAATCCATACACCAGAGAAGACTTGTTCCCACTCTTCCCTCCCAGTTGCATGTTCTGGGATATATTATGAGTTTTTGAGATGTAGGAATTTACACCAGAAGACGAATTTGATTTCACCATGATTGGTTGAATACCCCCAGTTTCCCATGGGAGAATGAAGTAGGGAATGCTCCATTGTAAACCTTTTGCAAACTCATAATATTCGACTGGCAGAGTAACAGCCAACCATCTTGACAGCGCAAAAACCTGAATATGGCACATGCTTCTCTGTATATATAAAACAAATTCTCTTAATTTTCATGATGATGGAAATGGACAGCTCACAAGCTTCTATTATTCCATTCACAAAAGATATAAAATTCAATAAAGGATGGACGTTTACACTTTATAAATTTCATTCCACTAATTTCAACACCAATTTATCTCTAGCAAATTACAATTAATAACTATAATCTCATGAATATAAAAGACAATTGTGAAAATATTGAAACAATGTCCCCAGTATCTGAAAATACTTCGAGTTGAGGTGCAGAATTGTTGTCTTTTAGAAATCTTTCTGATTTATAAAGTAATCAGGAAGTGCAGAACATAAATTTTAAATTTGGAGGGAAACCTTTCCAGCCCAAATGTAAAAGACCATTAGAAATTGTAAAATGCCAAGAAAAACCATGTGAATACCATAGATAACTTTTAGGTTAGTATCATACAAAAAGATTCCTTCTAGGTTCAGCTGTCAGTAAAGGAGACGGTCTTGAAAATGCCCCAGCAGAGAGAAGGCTAGCAGTTGACAGAGTGATTAGCCCAGAAGCAAGAGAAGTAGCAAGGAAACAAGCAGTTGCAAAAGCAGAGATTACGGATGATATCATTGACACAGAATCTGAAAATATATTTCAGAGTATATATAAGCAAACACCCATAAAGATCCAAGGA